TAACCGATGGACTGGGGGCGAGCCAGCCTCGACCTCTTGGCCAGGCGGGCTCACACGATGCCATGTTCGTGGCCACCGGCGCTGATCCGCATACCAGTGCAACGGTGACACGACCACCACCATCAAGCCCCATACCCGCGAGAAACGCCCACGGGCGCAACCCAGACCGAGCCCATCCTCACCTACCCAGGGCTCACCCCGATCTGCCTCGGGTCCAGATCTGGTCTACTCGAGCACAAACCCTAGACCAAAAGCCTCCGCCTCCATGCGTGTGGCCATCACCGGTGCATCACCATTGCCCGCCCAGCCCCGCACGCCGCTGGCTCTGGTCCAGAAGAAGGGAAGGTGCAACCTCTACCATGCACTACGAGCATGGCCTCGACAGATGCAACACCGCAGCCACACTAGGCCCACTCAGCCCCTCCCCCGGTCAGCACCCGCAAGGCCAACCACGGGCAGAGCACCGCCGCCGCCAGTAACACCGCCGCCGCCGCGCAGCAGGCAGACGCTACCGGCCCTGGCCGCCGCAGCCCGCGCCGCCTGACGACCGACCCCGTCGCCGCACCCAGGCACGCCCCGTCCGCCATGCTGCCTGACACGCAGCAGCCACCAGCCCGCCACCATCGCACCAGAGTGCCGTCGTCGAACTAGGGAGCCACCGCGCCGCGACACCAAACACCCGCATCACGCCCTGCCATGGGAAGGCCGACCCGCGTCGCTTCGCACCCGCGAGAGGACGCCACATCCCCGTCGCCACCGGCTCCAATCGAGCTTAGCTCGGCCGCGCCCCCTGGCGGTAGCGAGGGAGGGTGAGGAGGGAGGAGGAGGACCGACGGCCGAGATCTGGGGATCCCTCCCTGCCGCCACGCGGGTGCGGCGAGGGAGGGAGGGCGGCTAGACATGTATCCTAGTGGGGAGAACCACGGCGTTGCAATTATAGTAAGAATTAAATCTCATAATGTAAATCTTCTATCGTGATACCACCTTCGTCCGGGTTTATTAGACCCCCTCTTATTTTGGGCTAAAATTTGACTATAAATTTAACTAATAAAGTTCAAACTATATTTCATAAAAATTATACTGTGAGAAATCCTTTTTAAATACAAATCCAATAATATAATTTCCGTATCATATAATTTATATTTTGTTAGTTTTGTAGATGATCAAAGTTTGACCCAAAATAGGAGAATGCTCAGTAAACCGGAACGGAGGTAGTATTCCCCGCAATTCCATGCCACTAGTCTCATTTCTGCTAAAAATTCTGTTATGAAAATCCCCGAACCGTTTTTCTAGGGTTCGAGTGGAGAGGCGGCGGCGCACGGGCGATCCCATCTACCTGTGGCGTACTCGCAAGTTTCTACCCGTGATCCCTCCTTGATAGCATTGGCTTTTCCTATAGACTCAATGTGATCTTGGATCACTAAAATATAAAATGTAGAGTCTTGAGCTTTGAGCTTGAGCCAATCTTTTCGTCCTTAGTATTTTGAGGGGTCCACTTTCCTCATCCATGCCATGCCATGCCATTCATTGAGCTTTTCCTGAAATATTAATCTTGAAATAGCATTAGCTCAATGAGCTATATGTTGTTAGGAATTACCAAAACCATCTAGGGATAGTTGCACTTTCAGAATCAGCCAGATCAAGGGTACAAGGATGGAGTTATAGAAATGCATCTTGTGCAGGAAGAGAAGTGCCTCTTAAAGCAGTGGTCCAAGCATTACCAGCCTTTTCTATGAGTTGTTTCAAGCTCACTAAAGGCTTATACAAAAAAGTCACGACAGTCATGTCTAAGTATTGGTGGGCTGGGTCACTCGATAAGAAAAAAATGCACTGGCAATCTTGGTCGAAGATGGCTACACCGAAGTCTAAGGGAGGACTAGGTTTCAGAGACCTAGAGTTGTTCAATGATGCAATGCTTGCTAAACAACCTTGGAGGCTGCTGGTTAATCCAGATAGCCTTTGTGCCAGGGTTCTTAAAGGGAGATACTACCCGGAAGGAGATTTTTTACAAGTTGGGTGCCCGGCAAACTCATCTACCACCTGGCGAGCCATCATACAGGGGAGAGAGGCCCTTAAACAAGGTCTGGTTCGGCGGGTGGTGGATGGAAGATGTACAGAAATTTGGCATGATCAGTGGATAAGTGGCACGAAGACTATGAAACCTATTTGCAGGTTATCAGACGAACCTGTCCAGCTGCTGGCGGATCTCATAGATGAGCATACATGTAATTGGAATTCTGGGCTGGTGCGGAGCTTGTTCTTAGCACCAGACGCGGACGCGATACTTAATCTCCCAAGACCGAGGTCGACACAAGGGGATTATTGGGCGTGGGCCTGGGATAGATCAGGAGCGTTTACGGTTCGCTCAGCATATCGAGAACTTAAGGAACGACAACAAAATTCTCAGGGTGTTCCAGGCAGCTCATCGGGCGGTGAAGAGAGTTGGAGATCGTTATGGAAGCTCAGAGTGCAACCTAAAATACGTGTTTTCTGGTGGCGGGTTCTGAAAGGCTTTCTACCAGCCAACGCAGAATTACAGAGGAGGCATGTGAATGAAGATGCTATATGCTTATTGTGCGGGCACGCGGAGGAAACGCTGTTACATGCTTTGGTGCAGTGTGTTCATGCTACAACATACTGGGCAGAGGCAGAGAATTTCTTTGGTATCACATTACCGCGGCTGTTCCCGGGAACTTGGACGAGAGGCTTGCTTGATCCTCAGTTTTTGTCCAGAGACAAAGCAACAATTGCAATAACAGTGATGTGGGCAGGATGGAATAGTAGAAACAAATACACACATGACGAGGTGCAATACCAACCCATGCGTTCAATGGAATTGGTTCAGGAGATGATCAGATCCCTTGATGTTCTAGGCAAGGAAAATGATGCATTAGCAGTACCCAAGCGGGCTGTGTGGCGGCCACCTGCTGAAGGAGTTGTCAAGCTGAATACAGACACAGCGGTTGAAGTGGCCAGGGGTGAGGCAGGTGGATCAATGATAGCACGAGATGATCAAGGATCCTTCCTTGCAGCCAGATTTAGACACTACCCAGGGACTACCCTCCGCTGATAGGGGAAGCTTTGGCGTGCCGGGACGCGATGGTGTTTGCGATGGAGCAAGGATGGACCAACGTCCAAGTTGAAACAGACTGTCAAGTCTTTGCCAATGAATGGAAAAATAGAAGAGACATGTCTGATGTGGGTCTCATTATCAGAGAGATGAAGGTCTATCTCTCATATTTCCAGGGATTCGAGTTGTATCATATTAGTAGAGAAGCCAATGCTCTCGCTCACAAATTAGCTCGGCATGCTCTGCTTTTAGGCATGGGCGATGTAACTTTCAGTTGTATCCCTGAATTTCTGAGTGACGAGATGCACTCAGACTATGTACGATGGAGGAATGAATAAATGTCGTTAAGGGCCGTGCTTAAAAAAAAAAGGAAGTAGTAGTACCTATTAGTCAACCAGGCGCGTTAAAAATCTCTCAGGGCCGCAGCTTAATTTTTTAAGAAAACTTCTAACCTATGCATCTTCAAGCATGCTAGTATAATGAACATCATAAAAAAAATTATTCCAAATTCGTAGACCACAACATGCGCCTTGTACGCCGTGCATGGAGTGGAGCTCACATCCGGCGACCCAGCGCACGTCTCGTGTTCAATTTGCCGTGATTAACTGCCGTGGTTAATGGCACGACTGCTGTCTTCCTATTATACATCAGTTATCACGATATTAACTACATAGGCGATTAATATTGCAGGAGTAATTCTTTAATTAATTTCTTATTTAATTTTTAATTACTTGATTGGACCAACCCCACAACCATTGTGATGATATTGTACATTCCAACAATGTGAGCATAACACAAACCAACCGGTGGTTGCATGGTTAGGTGGATAGTAATATCTCAGTTCATCAAGATTAAAGTTTTGGTTCTCCTATTTATTTCTAAATTTATTTTAGGACTTTCGGTGATGTGCATTTAGTGGGAGAAGACGTTCTCGTCGACTACGAGTTGTCTTTGATGACTTCATCAATCTCAAGATGATATATCGGCTCGATCTCTCAGAGATGCTCATGAGGTAGGGTGTATGTTCATAGGAATGAGTGTATGCGCGTATATATAAGCTTCCGCGTCTGTGTTGTGTTAAAAAAACCAGGAGAGCATACCGAAAATAACTTTTCCTTTTTATAAAACTAACAAGGCATGGAGTGAGCTTTCTTTCTTTTTGGCCACGAAAACACTCGGTGAGTTGACAAAAGCGTCCATTTTACAATTAACATAAAAAACGAGATCAATCTTCATCAATCCACATATGGGCGGACGAAAGTGACAGACTTGGTTGCAAAAAATACGACGTGCTTACAGAATCCCGGATTTAAATTCTGCGACACGGGCACACAGAGAAGCACCATGTGCCAGCGCTCTAAAATTTAAGTCCCAAGAAAAGCTCTAAATTTTGACGAGTTTGGGCGACAACGAAATCCAGCCAGCCAGCCGTACCGATATGCCCTCGATCGGGGTCACGTGGAGACACGCCCAGCGCGGACCAGTCGACCGGAGACAAAGGGGATTTGTACCCTTTCTTTTCCCGTCGCAGACGGGATCCCGCCGCCTGGTTGCTTCTCCGTAACCAATAACGCCGCTACTAAATTATAAAGCTGACGCTCAGATCTCATCTCCCCACCCAGCCCAACCCAACCCAACCCCAGCCCCAGTGGATTCTCCAATCCCCCGCAGAAAAGGGCGCCAGTGCATCCGCTCCCGTTCCCAGCAGCAATCCGTTACCACCAAGGCACAAGATTTAGGAGGACTACTTGCTCAGCTCCACCCATACCAAATCTCCACCCCGCGGCAGCTTCGTGTTGACTCGTCCGTCCTCCTCCCCGGCTCGGGAGCGCCCGTGGGCTTCTCGGATCGGCGGCGCGTCCGCTTTCCGTGCTCGGATCCAAGAAACCAGCTGGGGGCTAGGTTCTTGGATTTGGATCTCCCGCCCGCAATGGCGGCGCTCGTGGAGCTCTTCACGAGATCCTTGTCGTCCTCGACGCCCGTGGACTGGGAGGCGGAGGCCTACCCGGCGTACGGCGACTACGCCGTTCTCCCCATCCTCGTCGCCTTCTTTCCCGCCCTGCGCTTCCTCCTCGACCGGTTCGTCTTTGAGGTAAACTGCCTGGCTGCTCCCCTCTTCGGGTTTTAGTGGTTCATCGGATCCGGAATGCCCGTGCCAAGCTGCAGTTAGTTGCTGGATAAGCATTCCCCCTTGAGTTTCTTGCTTCAGTACAGTCTTTTCCATGGATCAGTTTTCTCATAAAACTGATGTAACTGTGCATGCCCTGACATGTCAATTTGTGTACTGATGTGAGCCTCTGTAACTATGGATCGAATTGTCAATCAACAGATAGAAAGACAAATAGAAGCTAGAAAATACAGCACCATAGCAATAATGTACTGCATTTTGATTGAGATTGTGCTGGATTCGGCTCGATAAAGCTGTGGTCATCGTGACTGCTTTTTGGAAAGTTACCTTCGCTTTAACAAAATAATCAAACCATGGACACGTTTTTAGATGCCACTTGTTTTCCCTCTTGTTTACGGCGGTACTTTTAAACGTCTTCATACTGTGAAGTGTGTGATTCTTTGGGTTCTACTAATATTATTGGTTAAATGGCATGTGAGTAAAATTTGTTGTGCTATATTGCTAGTGAATCGAATGTGAGGAGGGACATGCTACTATCCAAATTTATCTAGAAAATCATAGAACATGTACTGGAAGCTAATAGGGATTAACATTGGGAAATATCATCCTCTCTTACTTTTTGGAATTTTCAACCAGGGGGGGGGGGCGGTATTTCCCCACCTTAATTCATTGCCCCACAACAAGGTTTTGCAGCCCATCGCAAGATAGGGTCCAAGTGAACAGGGGCCACAGGGAAGAAGAGATTGAGCAAAAAATAACATGTACCGACAGCACACATAGCAAGGGAGAACAAAGAGGGAAAGCACAACAATGAGCACCGTGTCAGATCCCGCTAGGGATCGACAGGGAATCAAAGTGTATTGAACCAAGAAATCAAGGAAAAAAGTATAAGAACTGAAGAACTACAGCACTTTTGCATATATGGTGTATGTATCTGTATATTTGATATAAACCAAATTGGCTGAATACAGTTGATCGATGCCCCTCTCTCAGGTTACAAGGCCTTATATAGGCTAGGGAATTACAGTGGCTTAATTTGAAAGTAAAGGAAAGGAAAAAGCAGCAAAAGGGGGAAACAGAGATAGGCATAGATCAGGTGTTCCTCTCATCCTAGCCCTCCAATCTTCTCTCTTATCTTCTCCCACTAGTACCTGATACACTGCCGGTGTAATCACTGTTCCAAATATCGGTCAGTGAACTGCCGATATGGTCAGTTAACTGCTATTCGGACCCTTCCCGATATGAGAACGTGATATTCGAGCCATTAACTGGTAGGCCCAGTTAATTTGTCTGACAAGCTGGTTTTATCAGCTGTCAGGCCGAATTATTGGCCTGCTACGCATTTTTTAACCCAAAACTGGCCTGTTCCCTCCCTACTTTTCAGTGTGCAGGTCTATGGCCTTCCAGATTGGCTGCAGCATCATCAGAACATCAAGGCAACACTTCTCCGTGTTGCTATGTAGCCTAGGATTGCATATTTAGGCACTTGGTACATTGCATGTTGCTATTAGCCTAGTAGATATAGATATGGCTCTAGTTAACCTACCGATATATGGGTTACCGATAAATTCAGTTAAATGGCGGATTCGTCGATTACTCCGTACTCATCACCTTGCCGATATGGTACCAGTTACCGATATCTTGAACATTGGGTGTAATCTAATGACATCGGCCAGCCGAGAGCAAACCACTACACTGCACCGTCGACACAATCAAAAGGCTCCGCACATCCGAGACTGCACAATGCCGCGACACCACCTGTGTCGTGGGGCGCATTCAAAGGGTCATGTGAGGCCGGGACGGCGCCACGACACCTGTGTGCCACCGGCGTAGTCAAAGGGCATCGCCTAGCAGACCAAACCCGACACTGCCATGACACTGCACCGTTGACGCAATCGAAGGCACCGCACAACCGAGACTGCACAACGCCGTGCACCACCTGTGTTGTGCGTAAATTCAAAAGGTTACGCGAGGCCGAGATGCAGTCGCAACTGCAAGGTCAACTCACCATGTCGACTAGTCGACGAGTCGCAACTGCAGGGTTGAAGAGTAGCTACCCCAGAACGACTCATCGACTCGAAAACCTTGCCGAGACGACGCCACGGCACCTGTGTGCCACTGGCGTAGTCGCAGGGCATCGCCTACCACCGTCGACCCCAGACCAGCCACATCACCACCACCCGCCCCGACCCACAACCACCAACCTCAAACATCCTCTCTTATTTAACTTAGCTGCAGCATTGCTCTTGAATCTATCTTGACTTAGGTTTACTGCTATTTCCCTCTTAACAAAGCTCAAACTTAACAAGTTGCTTCAAATGTAAATTGCAGAGTGATTATTTCTTGAGGCACTGACTTGATTATATTTCCAGTTTATGGCTTCCTTGCGTACAAAATTTTGAAAACAATGGAGCCCCCTCCAGACTCCAGTAGAGATCAGTGGATCCATTTGTGGTTAGCAATTGCTGATGCAATAGTGGTTCAATTTTTTTATCTAACATGGTTGCAGTATGTATTATTACCAATATAATATATGATTACGCCCATCCACCATTGTAGTACATGCAGTAACTCATGTTGACATGAAAAGTAAGTCCTATTTTGATTTTTGACTCTAAATTGTCTACTGCAAAGAGAGGGGAACTGAAATAAGCCAGAACAGACCAGTTTTTTGCCAGTTTGTTATATTTGCTGTCATGTCACATTAAAACTGTATGCCGTGAGCAAATCATATGCAAGAATGGTGCAATCACGACTGGGATGGTCATTATGTAGCGTTCATGCTATTCCAGTACGCCCCTACATGCGTATATTATAGTTCTTTCATTTCATTATATTTGCAGATATTAGCAAGAAGACTTATATTTGGAAAAGGATATGACAAGCTTGCTGAAACAGACGAAAGGAGAAAGAAAATCAATAAATTTAAGGAGTCGGCCTGGAAATTTGTTTATTTTCTTTCGGCAGAGGTCCTTTCATTATCTGTAACATACAACGAGCCATGGTTTACAAACACCAGATACTTCTGGGTAGGGCCTGGTGAGCAGCTCTGGCCTGATCAAAAGATGAAGTAAGCAAGAGAAACAAGAAGCTCTTTTATTCTTCACTGCAGCATTGCTTTTACCCAAAAGGCTTCAACCTTAATTTTTCTTTTCTTTCTCCCAGACTGAAGCTTAAGGCTGTATACATGTATGCTGCTGGATTTTACACATATTCCATCTTTGCCCTTCTGTTCTGGGAAACAAGACGCAAGGATTTCGGAGTCTCGATGTCTCACCATGTGGCAACTGTTGTTCTGATTGTTATGTCCTACATTTGCAGGTTTGTACATGAGTGTAATTGCCCTTCTATACGTAATGATACACAGCATTGCCAGGTCTTGATGTTATTGCTATTTCTAAACAGATTATCTCGTGCTGGCTCGGTCATTTTAGCCGTCCATGATGCGAGTGATATATTCCTAGAGATCGGAAAGATGGCCAAGTATAGTAGCTGTGAGGGGCTAGCTGTTGTAGCATTTCTACTTTTTGTGGCTTCTTGGATCCTTCTTCGGCTAATAATTTTCCCTTTCTGGATCCTGAGAAGCACAAGGTAAACATTTGCTACAGCTTGTAGGTTGCTGTGGTGTCTGGTGCCACTCCGACTTTTTAACTCCACTAACATTTATATCGCGTTTTATTGATTGATTTGATGCTCTCGTGTCTTTTTCAGCTATGAAGTAGCTGTGATCCTTGACAAGGAGAAAAAAGAATTTTACAGCTCCGTATACTACTATCTTTTCAACAGTCTCCTGTTCTCACTTCTAGTCCTTCACATATATTGGTGGGTACTGATTTACCGAATGCTAGTCAAACAAATCCAATCCAGAGGACGTGTTGGTGACGATGTTCGATCCGGTCAGCTATTTGTCTTGCCCATTTTCTCGTTGTTAAATCTGTTTTCTTTCGCATCAGCATATTGATTTCTTATAAGCCACCTGCTATTAAACAGATTCTGAGGGTGAAGAAGACCACGAAGATTAATCTGTAGGTTGCTGGATGTTTAACTGAAGAATTATATAATGTGTTCCCTACAGGATGATACATCCATCACCCTAGCCACTGATTTCACTAGACCGGATCAATCTTTGTGTCAAACATGGCAGCCACAATTTGCAGGAGTTGGTACTACAGCTACTTGTGCTATCATATACAAAGTTGGTGTATATTTGCCCTGGATCCGTATTTGTATAAAAGAGAGCACAATAAGTTTGTTCAGTCTAGGAAGGATTAGTTGATTCATGATGCATTGGCGTCGTCGTGTAATATGCGGTGGTAACTCAGTTTGCAACTTGGTGTATCTTGCATTGTAATGGGTAATCTGGATAAGAAGTTCCAAAGAAACTTTCAACATTCTTAGAGCATCTCCAGCAGTTACCCAATAAGCATCTCCAGCTGCTCCATCAAGTTTTTTGGGGTTTCTTTATGTGCTGCTTTTGCAACTTCCGAATAAACCCATCCCCAATAATTTGATTTTTTTTCTAGTTCTCTTTGCACTTGCATATAAACACAGACATCTTCATTTTATCATCGTAAGGATTCAAGTTCAAATAATTATGTTTCAGTTTCAAACCCACAATTTATGAAATTTAGATTTGAATCTCCATGACCTTTGAAATTGTACCTATATTTATTTAGTTCTAAAATTACCCATCCAAACATCTTATTTACATCTTGGCACGTGATGTTTACTTGGAGCCTTGTTTTGCATGACTGGTCTCGTTTCATCCCAAACTTCACCAAGGTTTCTGTATCAGGGACTGAAAACTGCCTTGCCTGCCAGCATATGCTATGGCCGACAGATTAGGCAGTTGGTTTCATCCCTCGTAGCGGAAAGCTGGAATGTTAACTGGAAGCCTGTGCTCTTGCATGTGGTGTGTTTATCTAGTGCAAGTCAACGGAGACAAAAGGCAAGTTGAGGTTTTAGGAAAAGACAAATGTAGAGTTGAGGCCGTTTCATTCCTTTCCAGTTTCGTTTGGAAGGCCGTTTCATCATTTTGTCTGTTCATTTTTTTCAGGCACCTGCTATTGTCTATATCTGTAGCTTAATAATATCAATAATGTTACATGTCTGAGTATCTTAGTTTAATTTATCTATTTTCGTACTCAAGGGGAGTTCGTTTCTTTAGATGAGCCAACTCAATGCAGTTCTATGAGACTAGATGGCCTAGTTTTCGTTACTTATTGTTTGTAACTTCTTGGCTGGGGCAATGCATTGAATTTTGTCTGGTGCTGGAACTCTTATTTACCAAGGAGAGTGCAGAACTTTATGTAATGTATGCCTAATGCCTTGTCAATCACAATAGTAAATTTAGTACAACATGAGTACAAATCATAAGTAGTAGTACAGACGTAGAAACCTGCTAATGGTCCTACATAACTCTAATGTAAATTGACCTCCAAGACCTATATTTAGTTCTAAAGTAAAATTTCAACCCATCTAAACGTCTTATTTACATCTTGTCATGCGATGTTTTACTTAGGACTTTGTGTTTGCATGACTGATCTCATTTCATCCTAAACTTCACCAGGGTTGTACAGGAACATCTTGTTTCTGTACAAGGGAGTTAGTTTCATCCCTCATAGCACAAAGCTGGAATGTTAACTGAAAGCCAGCACGCTTGCATGTGGTGTGTGTTTAATTAGGGTAACTCTATGCAGACAAGGCATGTTGAGGTTTTAAGAAAAGACAAAAGGGCAGAGTGGAGGTAGTTTTGTTTGGAAGGCTATTTCATCACGAACACTTGATACAAAATCTGCTTCAGTACACTCTCCCTTTCTAAAAGTTTAAGAGGGTAATTATGTCTTTTTGCTAATCACCCTCTAATGAAGATTTAAATGTGTTGGCCTGCTCCTGATCCAAATCATATCTGGCCCAAAGCAAGCATGGACAGGTCGTTCGACAAACTATTGGTATGCTACAAACATACGGGTTAGAGCATGGTTAATAATATAGCCATAGACTTGCGAACTATGCCTCATGGGCAAGATGACTAAGACTCCGTTCTCCGGAACAATGGAGCGAGCCACTGACTTATTGAAAACAATACATACTGATGTATGCGGTCCGATGAGTGTTGAGGCTCGCGGCAGGTATCGTTATTTTCTGACCTTCACAGATGATTTGAGCAGATATGAATATATCTACTTAATGAAACATAAGTCTGAAACATTTGAAAAGTTCAAAGAATTTCAGAGTGAAGTGGAAAATCATTGTAACAAGAAAATAAAGTTTCTACGATCTGATAGTGAAGGTGAATATTTGAGTTATGAGTTTGGTCTTCATTTGAAACAATGTGGAATAGTTTCGCAACTCACGCCACCTGAAACATCACAGCGTAATGGTGTGTCCGAATGTCGTAACTATACTTTATTAGATATGGTGCGATCTATGATGTCTCTTACCGATTTACCACTATTGTCTTGGGGTTATGCTTTAGAGATGGCTGCATTCACGTTAAATCGGAGAACACCATATGAACTGTGGTTTGGCAAGAAACCTAAGCTGTCGTTTCTTAAAGTTTGGGGCTGTGATGCTTATGTGAAAAAGCTTCAACCTGATAAGCTCGAATCCAAATCGGAGAAATGCGTCTTCATAGGATACCCAAAGGAAACTGTTCGGTACACCTTCTATCACAGTTTCGAAGGCAAGAAATTCGTTACTAAGAATGGATCCTTTCTAAAGAAGGAGTTTCTCTCGAAAGAAGTGAGTGGGAGAAAAGTAGAACTTGATGAGATAATTGTACCTTCTCCCGAATTGGAAAGTAGTTCATCACAGAAATCAGTTCCAGTGATTCCTACACCAATTAGTGAGGAAGCTGATGATGATGATCATGAAGGAAATATGCCCTAAAGACAATAATAAAGTTTTTATTTATATTTCCTTATACCATGATAAATGTTTATTATTCATGCTATAATTGTATTAACCGGAAACTTAGTACATGTGAGAATACATAGACAAACAGAGTGTCACTAGTATGCCTCTACTTGACTAGTTCGTTAATCAAAGATGGTTAAGTTTTCTAACCATAGACATGAGTTGTCATTTGATGAACGGGATCACATCATTAGAAAATGATGTGATTGACTTGACCCATCCGTTAGCTTAGCACTATGTGAAGGAAATATGCCCTAGAGGCAATAATAAAGTTGTTATTTATATTTTCTTATATCATGATAAATGTTTATTATTCATGCTAGAATTGTATTAACCGGAAACTTAGTACATGTGTGAATACATAGACAAACAGAGTGTCACTAGTATGCCTCTACTTGATTAGCCCGTTAATCAAAGATGGTTAAGTTTCCTAGCCATAGACATGAGTTGTCATTTGATGAACGAGATCACATCATTAGAGAATGATGTGATTGACTTGACCCATCCGTTAGCTTAGCACTATGATCGTTTAGTTTATTGCTATTGCTTTCTCCGTCACTTATACATGTTCCTATGACTATGAGATTATACAACTCCTGAATACCTGAGGAACACTTAGTGTGCTATCAAACGTCACAATGTAACTAGATGATTATAAAGATGCTCTACAGGTGTCTCCGATGGTGTTTTGTTGAGTTGGCATAGGTCAAGATTAGGATTTGTCACTCTGATTGTCGGAGAGGTATCTCTGGGCCCTCTCGGTAATGCACATCACTATAAGCCTTGCAAGCAATGTGACTAATGAGTTAGTTGCAGGATGTTGCATTACGAAACGAGTAAAGAGACTTGCCGGTAACGAGATTGAACTAGGTATTGAGATACCGACAATCGAATCTCAGGCAAGTAACATACCGATGACAAAGGAAACAACGTATGTTGTTATGCGGTTGGACCGATAAAGATCTTCGTAGAATATGTAGGAACCAATATGAGCATTCGGGTTTCGCTATTGTTTATTGACGGGAAGTGAGTCTCGGTCATGTCTACATAGTTCTCAAACCCGTACGGTCCGCACGCTTAACGTTCGATGACGATCGGTATTATGAGTTTATGTGTTTTGATAAACCGAAGGTAGTTCGAAGTCCTGGATGTGATCACGGACATGACGAGGAGTCTCGAAATGGTCGAGACATAAAGATTGATATATTGGAAGGTTATATTCGGACACCGGAAAGGTTCCGGGGGTCACCGGATAAATACCGGAGTACCGGGGAGTTACCGGAACCCCCAGGGGGGTCAACGGGCCTTCATGGGCCTTAGTGGAAATAGAGGGCAGCAAGGGAGCTGTGGGGCGCACCCCCTAGGCCCAAACCGAATTGGTTTAGGGCTTGGGGGGGGGGCTCTTTCCTTCTCCCCTCCTCCTCTTTCCTCCCCCTCCTAGTTGGACTAGGAAAGGGGGAACCTACTCCTAGTAGGAGTAGGATTCCCCCCTTGGGGCGCACCCTATGAGGCCGCCGCCCCCTCCCCTTGCTCCTTTATATACGGGGGCAGGGGAGCACCCTATAACACACAAGTTGACATTGTTTAGCCATGTGTGGTGCCCCCCTCCACCATAATCCACATCGGTCATATCGTTGCAGTGCTTAGGCAAAGCCCTGCACCGGTAGCTTCATCATCACCGTCATCACACCATCGTGCTGATGAAACTCTCCCTCAACACTCAGCTAGATCTAGAGTTGGCGGGACGTCACCGAGCTGAACATGTGCAGATCGCGGAGGTGCCGTACCTTCGGTGCTAGGATCGGTCAAATCGTGAAGATGCACGACTACATCAACCGCGTTGTCATAACGCTTCCGCTTACGGTCTACAATGGTACATGGACAACACTCTTCCTCTCTCGTTGCTATGCATCACCTAGATAGATCTTGCGTGTGTGTAGGAAATTTTTGAAATTACTGCATTCCCCAATAGTGGCATCCGTGCCAGGTCTATGCGTAGATGTTATATGCACGAGTAGAACACAAAGGAGTTGTGGGCGTGGGTATATACATATTGCTTGCCGTCACTAGTTGATTCTTGATTCAGTGGTATTGTTGGATGAAG